TGGCCCGGCCACGGATGGCGTCCGCAGCACCGGCGGGACCGGCAGCGCCAGCGATCCGGCTCGACCGTCTCGTACCGACGGCGGCGGTGGCGGCGGCGACTTTCTGCGCGTACCCTCAGTCGCGTCGGGTCAGGACGGTAGCCTCTCGGTGCCAGAATCGCCGCTGCTCAATTCCATCACGCCCAAGCAGTCAGACTTTGACCTGTCGCGACGCAGCCAGGCCATGGCCCTGGCAGCCGAAGCATCGTCGACGTCGAAGGGCAGCTTGGAAACGCCACGTCCGGGTGTAGCGGCAAGCGGTGGACGGTCCGACACCCTCAAACCGCCACCGCCGCCGCCACCATCGTCGTCGTCGTCGTCGTCGTCGTTGGTGGTGCTGCCGGGTGGAAGCGCTGGAGTTGAGTCGACGACCCCGGATGCGATCGAGAGCGAGAGCGAGCAGACGCTTTCATCGTCGGCGTCGGTGTCCAAGTCGGCTTCGACGTCGTACTTTGACGAACCGGAATCCTACACCGCCCGCGGCGGCAGTGGCGATGGCGGTGGCGGTGGGGAAGGAGGGGTTATCGCGAACCTGCGAAAAAGACCGGGCGGTATCGGAGGAGGACGTAGAGAGCACTCTACGTATGAAACGGAGGATTTCCAACAGCGTGTTGGGTATGGTAGTGACGATGAGGGGGAAGCGGAGGAGGGCGAGGAGGAGGAGGAGGAGGAGGAGGAGGAGGAAGGTGAGGAGGAAGAGGAGGAGGAAGAAGAGGAGGAAGAAGAGGAGGAAGAGGAGGAAGAGGAGGAGGAGGAGGACGGGGATGCGGATAGCGATCTGGCACTCGAGGCGCTGGACCTGGATGGGTATTGAGCCGTCCTTCCTACCCTCCCCTGTTTCCGCCCATAGCAAACCTGCTCAATCTACCTGATACCTTCCCCCACCAGCGTCTCCCCTTCGTCGTCGGTCTCGTTATGTCGATGCATCCTCTGATCTTCAGCTCGAGGTGAGGTGGCGACGGTACGACTGCACGCTCCGGCCAGGCTGGAACGAGAATCAGGCTGGCCGCCCAGCCACGCCGAGATCGACGGTACGCCGGCGTCGCATCGTGCGCTGCCCTGCCCCTCACCGGCCCCTCGCACCCTTCAAGTCGGCTCACAAGGTCAGAGTCGCATTTCAAATCAGCTTGGGACAATGGTCAAAGCGGTGGTAAGCAGCGCGTGCGAGCGCGCGTACAGCTTCGCGGACATCGGCGCGCGGATCCCTCTTCGTCGCCTCGTTGCGCACCGACCGGTGGCGCTTGCGTCCTCGTGCTGTTGTTGCTGGATCGGGCGCAGGCCGAGGCTTGTTTGCTGCTTGGTGTTCGGGCTCGAAGGCTGCAAGTCGTTCGGCCGATGTGTCGTCGATTCGCCCTCCCTCGCTCCTTCGCTCCCTGGTCTCGATGGTGGGGCTTGCTTTGGGCGCGTTGATTGTGATGTTGGTGCTTCGCCGCGCTCAGTCAATGTTGGGTTGCCCGTCTTCGCAGTCGTCGCTTGCGCTATGGCCTTGGTCCTCGTCGCCTTGAGCGGTGCCTTTCTGCTCCGTCGCCCTTCTCCCTGGTGGAGGCACTCGCTCAGAAGGGCGCCCTGGTGTTGACGAAGCTCCACGGCTGTCCCGTGCTGTCCAGCCTCTCCTTGGCCCATGCCGGCAGCTCGCCAAAGTCCCTCTGGTAGAAGAAGAGGATGCCTGCGGGCACTCCCTCGACCATCTTGCTCGGATCCTCGTCTTCGGCGGCCTCGGCCCGCGCCAGGTAGCCGCGGTAGGGGCCACGCACGTGAGCCGGCCTGCCGTGCGAGGTCCACCAGCGATGGCGGAGACCTTCGTAGTCTGCATCGTGCTCGTAGCACTTCGGCAGATGGGCGTCGAGCCAGGTGAGGGTCTTCGGGTCGTCTTTGGGCAACGGACGCTCGCCCATCATGGGCCACTCCATCTCCATATCGGTCCCGGACTGAGCACGATAGAGGAGTAGGTCGAGGACCTGTAGGACGCTGCCTCCGTCGCGCAGGTAGCTTCTCCACTGAGCCCAGGAAAAGCCCTCGCGATAGTTGTGCCAGCGGCCTTGTTCGAGCCACAGCTCGACGACGCTCGGCTCCGGCGTCGTTCCGTGCTTGGCCATGCCGCCGATCGTGCCGATGATGTGGCAAAAGCCCTTCACGTGCGTTTTGGTGCGGGAAAGGCCGTCGGGGAAGAAGGCGATGGGCTCACACATGCCGTCGTCCAGCGAAAGGTCGACCCAGTCGAGCGCGTCCATCGACATGTCGAACGCGAGCTCGGCAGCCGTCTCAAACGCTGCCTGCATCCTCTTGCTGAATCCGTCGACGCAGGCGCAGAGCGGGGGGGCGATCGTGACGCTGAGGTTGCGGGTGGTGGGAAAGTCGGAGTAGGCCGTCGCAAAGGCACGCGCGTCCTGTACAAGATACTTGGTGTCGCCGAGGGGCTGGAAGCCGATGCGGCGGAACGCGCTTATCAGGCGCTCGTTGGCGCGCGCGTACTGCTCCTTGGACATGTCTTCGACCTCGCTCGTATTGAGGATGACCGGCCAGACAAGGGCGCGAGTCCAATAGCCGGCGAAGCGCCGCAGCATCTCGCTGCAGAGTCGCATCCCGTAACCTCGACCGCGGTGCTCGGCGTCAAACGAGACATAGTGCAGCACCAGGAGGCCGCCGTTGGCCAGGTCCGGGCACGAGGGCACGCGCGACGTGTTTCTCGGGCCGACCATCTCGACGGCGATGGCCAGCGTCTCGCGGTCGGCGCAGTCGAAGGCGTAGTACCTCTCGGTGCCGCGCATGGGCGGCGCGTCTTGATAGAAGATCCAGCCCCTCGCTCCTCCGATCGGCTCCCCCAGTATGGCGTGCTCCTCGTCGGCCGCCTTCTCGATCGCGTCGCAGACATTGTCGCTACCGGTCTCGGTGTCGTCGTCGCTCTCCTCGTCATCGTCGCTTTCCTCGTCCTCTTCGGTCTGCTCGTCCTCATCGCTCTCCTCGTCCTCGTTGCTCTCCTCTTCTTCGTCGCTCTCCTCGTCCTCGTTGTTCTCCTCGTCTTCGTCGCTCTCCTGGTCCTCGTTGCAGTCTTTGTCGTCATCGTCGCCCATGCCCTGCACCTGCTCCTCGTCCTCTTCGTCGCAGACGTAGGGACTCTTGTAGGTGGAGCTATCGTTGGTGTCGGCGCTCGACTTGGACGCAGCGGACGGGTCATTGAGGCTGGCCTTGGCCATGTCAATCGACGAGGTGTCCTTGGTCGGGAGAGGAGGGGAAGCTGAGCCACCCTGGGCCTTGGAAGAAGAAGTGGCCTTGGACACCAGGGCGGAGGTGGACGACGCACCAAGACCCGAGATTCCGCTGCTCGATTCGAGCCCCTCGCTCTTGCTCTTCGATGCCGCTTTGTCTGCGGCCTCCTTTGCGGCTTTTTCCGCCTGCGCCTTTTCCTTTGCCTTGGCCCTGGCGATGTAATCCTTCATCGCCTTTTTGTGGACGCGCACGGCGTCCTCGGCCTTGGTCTTGGCTGCCTCCCGCTTGCTCTGCGCGTAAGCAAAGTACTGTTCGCGCTGTTTGCTGGTGGCAAGGTAGGCGTGGCCGTTTATCTCGTCGGTGACCTCGCCAAACTCGAACGCCCGGCGCCTTTCAAACACGAAGAACAGCTGCTTGTCGGAGGCAGAGGGGTTCGCCTGCGTGGTGGTGCTGTCGCCCTTGGAGCGCTTCGGTTCGGGCTTGGCGACGGGCTTCTGGGAGCCGGGCGTCGAAGCGCCAGAGGTAGGGGGACGCTTGGGCGACATGGCGCGGTGTCGCAGGCGGGGGCGAAAAGAGGGATGCCGTCGCCGATGGAGGTGGTGTGGTAGCAGAGTGAGCGACCGCAAGGAGAGACAGAGGATGAAGATGGACTTGACGAAATGAAGAGGGGCTGGGGGCCAGGGATGGGGGTGGGAGTTGGTGGCGGGAGAGGAAGGGATCGAGCGCTCGCGGTGGCGAAGAAGGGAAGGGTGGCGTGGTGTCGCGTGCCTGGCCTGGCCTGCCCTGGCCTGTCCTCTGCGACTGAGCGTGCGTGCACGCAGCCTGCCCCACCAACGCCTGCCGCGCGCCCCGTCTTGCCCTGGCTTCTCGCGGCCTGCCCGAAAATTTTCGAGGCAGCCTGACCAGCCTGAGGAGCCTGGCCTCACCGCCCACAGCCTGGATGGTGGGCCCTCAAGCGCTCGGACCAGCCAGCCCCAGCCAGGGCAAGGAGCGCGCCCAGTTGCGGTCTACTGCCGGCAGCGCCGTCTTCAGCCCCGGGGCTGGGCCAGATGAAACGCACCGGCCGTGCCGCCTTCCCTGCCCTCACCTGCCTGCGCGCCTTTCCCTGCCTTGCCTGGCCTTCCGCTGCTGGCTCTGCTCGCCGCATCGTCCCATTTTCCTCTCGTTTGACGCGGCATTCCAGCTCCTTTCTCTCTCACTTCTACGCAGAGGTGGCAGCCGGGCTTGCACCCTCGAGAAGGGGGCGGCAGGCGGAGGTCCAGCACCCGTCGCCACGCGGGCGCTTCTGTCTTCAAAATGCTAACGTCCCGGCAGGCTTCATCGCACGCATGTTTTCAAGGCCTGGCGATGCGGGCTTGAGCGATGAACCGCTGCGCTGACCCAGGATGCCCATCCCATGTTCCATTATTCCTCCGTCAGCCCAGCTGCGAGGTCCAGACGTCGGCGTCTCGGCCCCAGTCGGGCAGCTCGCCGCCAATTCTCGCCTGGTGGAGGCGGAGCATGGGAATGGGCACATGCTCGGGGACCTGTCTCTGCCTCGCCTCCTCGATGTCTTCGTCTGTGTACGGACGCGGTCCTCGAAGCCATGCCGGCCTGTCGCCGTCGGCCCACCATCGCTGTCGAACGCCCTCGATGTCCCTGTCGTGCTCGTGGCACCTCGGCAGGTTGGCGTTCAGCCAGACGAGGCCCGCCGGATCGTCGTCGGACCACGAATCGTCCTCGAAGTAGACGCCGGACTGGACACGGTGGAGGACCAGCGTCGGCTGCGTGCTCGAATCTGTACCGCATACTCATGCTGCAGCCGGCGAGGCAGTAGCACAGCCGCGATGCGATGGCGACGTCGACGTCGATATCGCGGGTAGTAGGGAAGGTGCCGTACCCCGTGGCAAAGCGGTCACGATCCTGGACGAGATACTTTGCGTCTCCGAGCGGGACGAAAGCCGACACGGCGATATGCTCTGAACAAACCCTGGTTGGCGGGTTGACAGTCTGCCGTCGTCATGTCGCGAGGCGCGTCGAAATTGAGCATGAATGGCTGGACCACGGTCCTGGTCCAGTATGGCGCAAAGTGCCGCATCAAATCGCAGACGAGCCGCATTCCGTACCCTTTGCCTCGGTGCTCGGGCCTCAAGCGGACTCTTTCAAGGACCATCAGCCCGCCGTTGGCCAGGTCGGGGCACGATGGGGACGCGCGACGTGTTGTCCGGCCGCATCAGCTCGAGGGCGATGTCGAGCGTCTGTCGGTCGGGGACGTCAAAGGCCCCGCAGCGCTCGCTGCCGCGCATCGACGGCGCGTCTTGGAAGAGGATCCATGCCAACGCCTCCCCGGTAGGCTCTCCGAGGATACCACGCTCCTTGTTCCTCATTCGCTAGACGGTGCTCAGCATGCGCATATCCTCCTTCTCGTCGTCGTAGTCGTAGTCATCGTCGTCGCTGCTGTCGGCTTCGCCGTCTCGATCGCGGTCTTGGTCGTGATCGGCGCCACCACATCGGTCCGCAGCGACATCAAGATCGACTTGAGGGCTGACTCCAAGGGGGGAGCAGAAGCCGGGCAAGAAGAGGATATGAGCCGTGATGGAGGACGGATGGGCAGTGTGATGAGAACGAGCGGGTGCGCGAGTGAAGCACGGGTATCACGACGGGGCAGGGGGGTATAGCGGCGGCGGAAGACGAGGAGGAGGAGGTGGTGGTGGTGGCGGTGTCGAGGAGCGAAGCTTAGAAGTGTGCGGGGGCGGCAACGGATGGATGCGGCTCCGCGCCTCTCCACTTCTTTTCCTCTCCAATTTTCTCGGAGCAAAGGGGCCGCCGTGGACCCGGCGGCGGTGGGCTGCAGAGGAAAAATCCAGTCGCGGCACTCAGGGCCTCCTTCTCGGCCACCCACCACCACCACCACCACCGCCACCACCACTTCTTCCGACACCGCTATCGCTGCCACCGCTGCCATCTCGCAGCCCAACTGCTCGACGACATGGCAACAGCACAACCAAGCACGTCAGCTGCGGCTTCGGCTGCGGCTCCGGCCGACGGCAGCGCCTCGCTCCTACCGCCCATCCCGCAGGCCACGTCCATCATCGTCATCGGAATGGCAGGCTCCGGCAAGTCGACCTTCACCTCCGCCCTGTCCAGCTACCACGAGACCTCGGCCTCCTCCTCCTCCTCCTCCTCCTCTTCTCCCTCGAGCTCGTCCGCGGCGCCGCCGTACATGGTCAACCTGGACCCGGCCGTCGGCTCGCTCGGCTACGAGCCCAACGTCGACATCCGGGACACGGTCGACTACCGCCGCGTCATGCAGCAGTACAACCTGGGCCCCAACGGCGGCATCCTCACCGCCCTCAACCTCTTCACCACCAAGTTCGACCAGGTGCTCGGCATCCTCGAGAAGCGCGCAAACGAGACCGACCACATCGTCCTCGACACGCCCGGACAGATTGAAATCTTTACCTGGTCCGCCAGCGGCAGCATCGTCACCGACGCCCTCGCCTCGGCCATGCCCACCGTCGTCGCCTACATCATCGATACCCCGCGCACCACCGCTCCTGCTACCTTTATGAGCAACATGCTCTACGCCTGCAGGTGGGTGTCGTAATGGCCCCCGTCACGCTCCCCCTCCCATCCAGCCGCTAGATTGCCCTGCTGACCACGCACTCGTCCCCGTTGCCTCGCTCGCTTTCTGCGCCGCCCAGCATCCTGTACAAGACCAAGCTGCCCTTCATCCTCGTCTTCAACAAGACCGACGCGCAGCCGCACGACTTTGCGCTCGAATGGATGCACGACTTTGAAAAGTTCCAAGAGGCCCTCAAGGCCGGCAACGCCACCGAACCCTCGTTGCTCGCCACCGCGGGTGCTCGCGGCGGCGGGAACGCGGCGGGCGGGCCGACAGAGGAGCAGGGGTACATGAACAGCCTCATGAACAGCATGAGCCTCGTCCTCGATGAGTTTTACAAGAACCTGCGGGTGCGTCTTGCGCGGCCGTCCCCCTTTCTGCCTCCTACCCTGCTTTCCGCCGCGACAAGGGACGATACTGACCTCTGCCTCTCCATTTATTCATTGCGCGATTCTAGACGGTGGGCGTCTCGTCTCTGACGGGCGATGGCCTGCCATCCTTCTTCGAGGCGGTCAACGAGGCGCGGCAAGAGTACATCACCGACTACCGACCGGACCTGGAACGGCTGGCGGCGCAGCGGAAGGAAAAGCGCGAGGGCGAAAAGAGGCGGCAGCTCGAAAAACTCATGCGCGACATGCAGGTCGATTCCAAGAGCGCTGCCCCTCGTCCCGCTGCTCCTTCGACGAGGGAGGATGGGGATGGGGAGGAGGAGGAGGAGGGAGGTGTGGTGGAGGAAGAGTACGAGGGAGATGGACAGATCATTGAACCGGTACGTTGCTCCGCCGCGCCTTGCCTTCTTTTCGCTGTCTCCGCTTCGACTGACCATACGCTCGTCTTTTCTCCCTCCTCTCCCCCTCCTTTCTGGATCTGGGAACGCCACCTTGTCCCGCTCCTGCGCTCGCCCGCTCGCTGGTCGTTGGCAGGATTCGGACGAGGAAAAGCCCCACTACGACTATCCCGGCCCCGAGTACGACCGCGGCGACGGAACCGTCTGGCCCCGTCCCGGTTGATGCCGCACGTCGAGAACCACCCTATCAACCATCGGCCATTTCACGCGAGAGCACAGAGGACGGAGAGATAATATGCGAGAGAGTGAGGGGTGATGCTGCGTGTGCATTATCGCCATCCGACATCGACATCGACACCGACATCCGGTCTGCGCTCTGCTCTGCTCAGCGCTGTGCCGCCAGGCTAATCTACTGCGCCGCAGCCGAAGCCACCTTGTCCTTGACCTTTTCGACGCCGCGCACCAGTCCCTCTTCTCCCTTGCGCACGACATCCTTGCCCCTCTCGAGGGCCTCTTCGGTCGAGTTGCCCGCCGTCTTGGTCTGCTGCTGCTGGCTGCTGCTCGCCTCGCTCCACTCCTGAAACGTCTTTTTGGCGCGCACGCGCAGGCTCTCGAAGCTGTCGAGGGCGGGACGCACGTCGAGGACGAACTCGGGTTCCTCGCGCTCCGGGTCGTCGGGGACCGAGTAGTAGTCGATGACGTAGCGCACCTCGCGCCCGTCCTGGTCCGGCCGTCGGACGACCCAGTCGTGCCGGTCAAAGGGGGGCTCCTCGCTGAACCGGCTAGGCATGAGCGTGGCGAGCAGGCCGAAGACGCGCGCCTTGGGCGAGAGTGTGCCCGGCTTGCCCTGGAAGCGCGCCAGCTCGGCGCGCGATGCGTCTGCGCCCGCCAGCTTTTCCCACTCGAGCACCTCGAGCCACGCCTGCTCGTTGAGGAAGTTGTGGATGAGCACCATGGTCTCGACGTGCTCCTCGGGCGTCTCCCACCCCTTGCGCACCAGCGCGTTGTAGAACTGCTGCGGCGACGGGTACTCCCACTTGGATCCCGACTCGTCCTGAGAGGCTGGTGCAGCAGCGCCGCCGACGCCACCAGCGGCCGCCTTGCGGTCCTCGTGCGGGACGGGGCAGGCCGAGGGTGCGTCGTAGGGTGAGGCGCCGGGGGCGGGCGAGGAGCGGGAGCGCGGGATGGACGACATGGTGCGTTCGGTCGAGAGGATCGACTGCTGGTCTGGCGCGGTGCCCTGGTTGAACTCGGGCATCATGTTGAGCGGGTTGAGCTTCGAGGACCACGACGCCTTTTCGGCGGGGGCGGGCGCCATGGATCCCCCTCCTCCGCCTGTCCTGCCCGCGTATCCCAAAGGCGACGAGGACGACGACGAGGACGAGGACGAGGATGCGGCGGAGCGCCCTGCAAGGTAGGCGTCGCGCTGGTCATGCGGGATGGGACATTGACCCGCGCTCGAAGGTGGCAGGACCGGCTTGGACTTGGGCTTGGGAGGCGGCGGCGATGCTGGTGTTGGTGCGGGTGCCGAGGCGCCGGATGCGTGCATGGGACAGCCGGGCGGCGGCGTACCTGCTGGGACCTTGGATGCGCTGTTCGGGTGGACTCCCGCGTGCGCCTGCGCCTGTGCCTGTGCCTGTGCCTGTGCGAGCTTGTAGGCCAAGAGGGCGGCAACGGCGTGCTGGTTGTTTGCGCTGCCGCTGGCGTGTGCGAGCGAGGCAAAGGCCGGGTGAGGCTGGGCAGAGGGGTGGCCCTCGGTCGAGTAGGACGCGCCCATCGTTGTGCAGTGTACGTGCTTGGATGTGTAGGTGGGTGGGAGCAAGAAGCAAGGGTCGAGGTGGCTGTCGTAGTGGTGGTGGTGGTGGTGGTGGTGCAAGAAAGACGGACAAGGAGGTGGCGGCGCAATGTTAAGGATGACGGGATGCGACCCTGACGGTTGGTTGATTTCTGATTCGCCGCCCTGCCTGGCCCAGCTGGGCCGGCTTGGTTGGGCCAGCTCCACCTCTGGAATTCCAAATCTCGAATTCAAGATTTTTGGTTGCGTCGGAGGCCTCGGCGGCCTCCGGGGCGGGCGGGCCCGCTCGGCCAGGCGGCCCGCTGACCAAACGGCATTTCGACTTTCGGAGCCGCGTTTGACTCGATTCCGAGTTGCGGAAGTCGGGGGTGGAGGCGGCAGCGGTCCATGGCGGGTGGTTGTCGGCCTCAGTCTGGCTCGCACTCGTTCCTCCCCGCTCCTCTCTTGTCCTCGCTTTCTCCTCACCACCATCCAGCCTCGGCAATTTCCGCGCAAGCACGCAAGCACGCACGCTCGACATGCTCCGGACTCCGGGCAGCGCAAGTGGCGCCGCGCACATCGTCTTCCCGCGGCCCAGCCATTCGGCTCTCGCCGCGCGCGACCATGCTCTCCTCCGCCCCATTCCCGTGCGCAGTCCGGTCTCTTTGCCCCACCCTGCCGAGATGCGCAACACCGCTAAGCAGTCGTCGTGCCCTTTCCTCTTGCTTGCTCTATCCCGCCACAGAAGTCGACCGAGGACCAATCGCAGCAAGGTGATCCCCACCCGGCCCTCCAACCTGGCAGCATCACCCATCCACAGCTGCACACGCTCCTCTTGACCCTCGAGCTCCTCGCCCCTCCTGTCCAGTTCGGCTACGAAAGAGGCCAGGGATGGCGAAGCGACGCCGCAGCCTACACCGACCTGCTGCATTGGCGCGACGTCGAAGCCGTAGCCCTGCTCGACAGCGTCCAGCACCAGCTCTCCCAGCTCGACCCGCAGCTGTTTGCCGGCGAGCCGCTCCAGCGCCAGCTCGAATGGACCCTCTTCAACGCCGTCGTCGCTCTCGCACGCTTCGTACCGGTCGCCGCGCATCTGGAACAGGGAGATGCAGAGTGCGATGAGGCAGAGGCCAGCGAGGACGACGACGAGGCGCCCAACGACGGCTGGGTCACGTCAAAGTCGACCGGCGTAGCTACAGGTGGGTGTCTGGCCCGTCTAGACTCCACAGCGCATTGCGTTCACACACAAGTAGACTGACGGAATTTCCTTCCTCGTGCCTTTGGCCCGACAGATGCCCTCTCGAGCGCCACGTCGCTGCTCGCATCCCGAACCACCCTCTCGCGCTACCGCCTCGCCACCTCGCTCCTCGACATCCACATCCAACCTCTCTACCGCGCCTCGGCCCAGTCGGGACCGACCGACCCGACGACGGGACGGAAACGCGCACCAGCACCGGGCCACGCGCTCCTCGTCTCGCCCGGCATGGGCGTGCACGACTCGCTCGACGAGGTGCCAGCATGGAAGGGCGGCGACGTCACCGTGCCCCCTGCTGCTGCTGCTGCTGCTGCAAACGCCGGCGGTGGAGCCGCTCTAGCACCGTCGCTCGCGCAGCGCGATTCGGCGCTGGGGAACTGGAACGTGCTCGCGTACGCCATCGTCCTGCTGCGCCGTTGCTGCGCCGGCGCTGACGACGACGACGGCGACGACGTGTGGAGACGGACGTGGTACCGCCTCGTGCCGCCGCTCATGGCTCTGCTCGAGGACCACGAGCCGCGCTTCCGTCTTGCGGCGTCTCGACTGGTCCAGCTCCTCCTCCTTCCCTCTTCCTCATCGAATGACGAGGAACGGGGCATCGACGCGACCCTCGTCCGCACGACGGGCATCGCGACGCTGCTCGAATCCGGTCTCGAGGCCAACCTGCACCTGACCACGGATGCGCTCGGTATCGAGTTGCTGGACAGTTCGATCGGGTCTCTTCGGTCCCTCATCCTCCTTCTCCTTCCCCCGGATTCTGCCCCTGCCTCTACCTCTACCTCTACCTCTTTGGGGGATGCCGGGGGGAGGGGGAGGGATGGGTTCGAAGCGTTGTGCACCCTCGTATCCGAGGGGATACTGCACAAATGGGCCTACATCGTCATGCCTTCCTCTCCCTCGTTGCGGAGGAGGGACATCAGGATGCTCGGTACGACGGTCAAGTGGCTACGTACCCTCTCGATGGATCTGGGTGGAGGGTGTAGGCGCTTCATCGGGGTCGTTGTCGACGTCCTGCTCTGTTCTTGGCTGCGTCAGGTCCGCTTTGACCTTGCCCCGGTGTGGATGCGGAGCGAGGTGGAAACGACGTCGGTCGATATCCTCGATACCGCGCGTACCCTCTTGACCCTCTGTCTACCCCCCAACACCGGCAGGGGCGGGGGGAGGGGGAGGGGCAAGGTAGAGGCTGTATCGGCCAATCGAACTCGTATCGTCGATGCACTGGCACGCTGTTGGACTCGCTCGTCTGTCCCAACCCCCACTTCTCCTCTTCCTCAGCAGCAAGAGAGGGTGAGGGTTGAGGTGCGAACGGCTTTCCAACGTCTCTACACGACCCTCGTACACGTCGACCCCGCCATTCGCAACGTGAGTCCTTCCTCCTCCCCTCGTCATCTCTCACCTTAGTGGGTAAACCTCGACCTGACCCGACCCGACCCTTGCACGACCCTCACTGCACCCTCCACGACCCAAAGCATTTCGAGCGTCTCGTCACCCTCGATCCCGATCGGTTCGGACCTGTCTTTGCCTCTTCACCCTAGTCCCTACCCTCTTCTCCCTCCTCCGCTCACGATTCGAAATGGAATACAGCGGCTAGTGGCCAGGGCAGTGCATCGGACGCGTCCTGTCGCGTCGTGTGGCGTCGTCGATTTGATTAGCAGGACGACAAGAGGAGGCCGACTCCCCCCGATTTGACCGTCTCAAGGGCAGCCACACTTCAACTCCATCATGGCTCACATCCGCCTTCACCTAGGTCCTCTCCCCCCAGATCGCCCGACCCGCTCAGAATGCACTCTGACCCGGCCTCCGACCTCCGCCCCTCCTCTGCGTGCCCCTCTGCGTCGCCGCCGCCGTAGCCGCAGCAGCCGCAGCAGCAGCACCCCGCCGGTTGCGCGCCGACGTCGACGCTCCGAACCCTGCAAAGTTGCCGTCGCCTCCATCTCGGCCGCTGCCTCCGTCATCGCTCGAGTCATCGACGACGACGACCACGTCGTCGTCGTCTTCGACGGCCGCCGCCTTGGCCCTCGCCCTCTTTTTGCGTGGCGATGCGCCGCCTACCGGCGCTTGGCTGTCTTCTTCGTCTTGTTCTTCCATCGCCTCTTCGTCCGACCTCGTCGTCGCGGCTCGGCGCTTGACCCCGCCTGCTCGCCCTCCGCCCTTGATCGTCTCGCTGCTCTCCCTCGAGGTTCCCTGCATCGTCGCCAAAGAGCGTCCCGACGATGCCCCCGCCGTCGCTGCCGCAGTCACAGTGGCCGGTCTGGCTCGCGTCTTTGCCGTCGTCGTCGTCCGTGTGGCCCCGCCCCGTCGGGTACGGGCTGCGGCCCTCGAGGTCGCCGGAGCGAGAATGGACATGTCGCCCTCGTCGTCGCTATCGAGGCCAGTCAGGTCCAGGTTGGCCCGCACCGGTCCAGAGTCGGACATGGCCTCCCCGATTTCATCATCCTCCTCCTCTTCGTCGTCGGCTGCGACCGCCGCGCCACGCCGCCTCGCCGTGCTCGCCGAGACCTTGCGCCGTCCAGCCGCTCTGCTGGGCGCCATCTCGGCATCTGAGTCGTCGGACAGCACCAGATTGATGTTGGTGCCTCGCACACGACCGCCCGTCGGCGGCTGTGCGATCAGGTCCATCTCCTCGCCGTCGACTGTGATCCGGTTGGCCGCCGCCGCCGCCGCCGCCTGCGCCTCGGTGCCGCCCGAGCCCTTCTTGCGCCAGTAGGCGTCGCCGATGCCGTAGTCGTGCGCCTCGGTCAGCTGCATCGCCACCGGCTGCCGGCTCCTCGGGATCGGCGGCCGGCCACCCTGCGGCGCTCGCTGCTGCTGCGACTTGGGCTTGAACTTTTTAAAGTTGGGCACGCCCTGCCACTCCGGACGCGGGCTGCCCTCGCCGCTGCCGCCGTCATCGCGGACCCTCCGGACCGCCAGCGGCACAAAGTCGACCTGGACAAAGTTGCCGCGCACGTCGATGCGCAGCTCCTCCTCGGCCAGCTTCTTGAACGCCTCAAAGTCCTCGTCGACCTGGAACTTGTCGGCCTGCCGCTGGGCCGCCGGCTGAGCGGCATTCCTGCCACGCGAGGTCGTGGGCTTGGTGATTTTGAGCTGGTTGAACTCGTCGTCAAACTCGTCCATCTTCTTGCGCCGCGACTTCTGCGTGTTGAGCGCCTGCAGGAACTCGGGCTCGGTGTCGGGCTGGCCGCCCTTGGCCACGCCGTTCCTGCCGTTGGCGGCGTCGGGCGAGCGGCGGATAACCTGGTTGGCAGCCGTGGCGTGCGCGGCGGTTGGAGGCGCGCCCGTGCCGCTGGCTGCCTCGCGAGATGCCGCTTCTACGACGCTGACCGAACGCTGCCGCTTGCGAGCTGCTGCAGCCGCTGCATCATCGACAAGGTCGACGTCCTGGCCGGCCGCTGGGCGTTTCCTGGCGCCTTGGCTCGTGGTCCTCGACATGCTGTCATGGCCGTCGACCTCCATGCTTTCCGCCACGTCGTTTTCGTGCACCGTCCCGAGCCTGGAACGCCCGCCAGCCCTCCTCGTGGTGCGTCCACCGCCCTGAGCCGACTGCAAAGTGCCGACGCCGCCCTCGTCATCGAAGCCATCCTCGTCCATCGCCACCGAGGCTTCCTGCGTCGCCCTCTGCGCGTCGTCGATCGACTGCGACTCGCGCCGGTCCTCCTCGTCCAGCTCCATCCTGTACTTTTTGCTCCTTGGGATGCCGCCCGGCGACAGCGATGCGCTTCCTCGCGCTGCCGCGTCGTCGTGCGCCCCTGCAGACCCGCCGGCGCCCTGCAGCAGGTCATCAAAGATTTCGGAGCGCCGGCTCTTGGCGCCCTCAGTGCCGGTACGCCTCGTCAGGCGGCTGCCGAGACGACGCGAGGGGGTGGGCGGGACCGGAGGGGTGGGATCCGCTGCCTCTGGCGCCGCAGGTGCGACGAGCGACCCCGTCGGCTCAGGCGCGTCGGTGACGAGATCGATGCTGGCGCTGCGATCCTGTTCGCCGGTGTTGACAGCGGAGGTCGCTGCCTCTGCATTGGCGCCGGCCCCTTCGCCATACAGCTCGTCAAGGATGTTGCCGCGTTGGGCCCTCCGGCGCAGAGGTCTGCGGGCAGTCGCTGGTGCGTCGTCGGTCTGGACCGAGGGCGTGGGTGCGAGCTCGCTCGTCGGCGCTGCAGCGATGCTCGAGGGCGGCGGAGCAGCATCGCCTGCTGCAGAGGCGGCGGTGACGGGCACAGATGGCGTTGGCGCAGCAAGAGCGTCTGCGATGTCGACGTGGCCGGCGCCGGTCGGTGGAGGTTCGACGCGGGTGACGTCGCCATCTGCGGTGGCGCTGGGTGTCGGTAGCACCTGCTGCTGCTTCTGCTGCTGCGGTCTCTCGACCGAGGGGCCACGCACACCGTCGGCTTGGCCGGCCTTGTCCCGGGCTTGGTCTTGGCCGTGCCCGTCACTGTCGACGTCGTCTGCGCTGACGTCGGCCGCCGAGGGCATGATGTTGAGCGTGGAGCGGGCGTCGGCCAAGATGACGGCGCTGGTAACGGCGTGGAAGCCCGAGGGCATGGGTACGCCGAGGTTGGCGCAGGCGGCGGCGCAGGCGCGGTGCCAGGGCTCGCCCTCGTGGCTGCCGTTGACGAGGACGACGAGGCCGTCGTCGGGGGCCTCGCGGGTGCCGACGGTGCCGCTATTGCGGCGGTACGAGATGGCGCGGTTGCGGTAGGGCATGAGGAGGCGGACAAAGTCGGCCTTTGTGGCGAGGGAGTCGGTGAGCGGGTTGTGGACGATGACGTGGGCGCCTCCGAGGGCGAGGATGTTGCGGTAGATGGCCAGCTCGTTGTCGTCGGCGGGCAGCGCGAAAAAGACGACGGTGGTGCCGCTAAACATGAGCGGGCGTACGTCCGAGGGGAGGAGCTGCTGCTCGACGTCGGGCTGTCCGAGGAAATCTGCGGCGTCTGCGGTTGGGAGGAAGCGGTCGAGGGGTTTTGGCTCGTGGAAGACGGTCTCGAGGGAGTGTTCGTGGTGCCTGGGCAGCTGACCGAGCTCGATCAGCTGCTCGAGGAAGGCGAGGGTGACTATGGGCTTTGCCTGTACGAGAGCGCTGAGGACCGTTTCTGTGGGTTTGACCTGGGAGAGGCAGAGGTGGGTGTAGCCTTTGCGCCATTTTGACTTGGGTGGCGAGAGGTGGATGCCGAGCGATGCGGCGATGGGGGCGAGGGGCTCGAGGGTGGTGGCCTTGATGTGCTTTCCCGAGAAGCATATGGCGTAGGGTTTCCATACGAGAGTGAGGGAGATTGTGGTTGTGAGGGGAAAGGAGCAGCCGTGGTGGAGGGTGATTGGCTGGTTTGGGGGGAAGGCGATGTCGTGTGTGGTGTCTGGGTCGTTGTCGTCGGGCGTGCGTACTACAAAGGATGGCCTGCTCTTGTTTGGTTCGAAGGTGAGGGTGACTTGTGGGCGTGCGTCGATGTCGGTGAGGTGGTGCGGGGAGAGGGTGTCGACGGCGATGCGGCAGGCGGTGCGCGAGACAAACTTGCTGTCGACGAGGATGTCTGCGGGGATCTTTCTACCGATGAGGTAGTTCTGGCCGTACTTGAGGAGCTTTGCGTGCTCGTCGCGCACGTCCTCGCCGAAGCGGCCGCAGAGGAGCCACATGCTGGAGGTGGCAAAGGGGGAGGCCAGGTTGGGAGAGGCGGGCAAGGACGATGTTGCCGACGAGGTGCGCCGATAGCGACGTGGTCAGCAGTGTGTGGGTTGAGGCAGACGAGTGCGTGGCTCGAGGATCAGGCAGAGCGAGGGATGAGCATGGTTGCAGACGATGGGGCGACGATGTGCATGTGCGGGCGCGGGTGCAATGCCTTTGCGGGTCGAGGGCGGAGGCGGTGGTGGGAGAGGAAGGTGGCGAGAGGGTGAGGGTGAGGGTGAGGGTGAGAGACCAACACCTGCTGGCCTGGCCTTTGCTGCTGCTCAGCTTGCCTCCACCTAGGCAGCCGTCTTGGCTCGCGTGGCCAGCCAGGCCAGCCAGGCCAGCCAGACCAAGCAGCAGGCAGGCTAGGGGGCAGCCGGGCCGCCGCTGGTTGGGCCCTGGAATCCAACCACGCCGAGCCAGGCCAGGCCAAGGGTCAGCAGCCAGCGCTTGGACCACGCCAGAGGCAGGCAGGCAGTCGCCGCCATTTCAGCCCCCACCCCACCCTTCGGGCCAGCCCAGCCCAGGCCAGGCCAGCCAGCGCAACGACAACCAGGCCAGCCAGGCCAGCCAGGCCTGGCTGGCACACCACCGACCGCGGCCCACTCGCTCGCCGCCTTTCGCCTTTCTTCCAACGCCATCCTCGACACCATCCTCGACGCCATCCTCGACGCCATCCTCGACGCCACCCTCGACGCCATCACCCCTTCACCATCTCCCTCACCGCAAACCCTCGTCCTCCCCTACATCCGGGCATCTGCCTGCCCACCCCGCCCCCCGCCATGTACAACCACCACAGCAGCCGATACTCGAACTCGGCAAACTCGTCGTCATCCTCATCTCGCCCGCACAGCGCAATCGGCCAGGGCGGGCCACTCGGCGCTTGGGCAGACTGGGCCGTACGCAACCTCGACCCAGACATCCAAGTCACCCCTGTACAGACCTACGTCGGTGAGCAGCCGCGCCGCCTCATCCTGGACTTGCTTCCCTCGCTTCCACCCTCGCTCATTCGCCCATCCTCGCTCCTCTCCCCGCTCCCCGTCCAGAACGCTGCTGCCACCCATCCCTCGGACAGCCCAACCTCGCCCTCAACCTCGAACTCGCAGACTACGTCAACCAGAAAAAGGCAAACACGTGAGCACACGTCGGCGCTCTTTTCACCCTCCGCGCGCCCATGCCCACGCCCTCACCTCGCCCATGTCCCTCCCTGTCCTCCCTCATCCACCACCGCCCTGCAGCCCGCGCGAGGCCGCCATCGAGACGGTGCGCAAGATCAACTCGCGCAACCCGCACGTCGGCATGCTCGGCCTCTCCGTGAGTGGGACTGCGCCCCTGCTCCTCCCTGCGCCGCTGCTGACCCGCCCCTCGTCCTCCCCCCTCGCAGCTCCTCGACATCCTCGTCAAGAACTGCGGATACCCCTTCCACCTCCAGATTGCCACAAAGGAGTTCCTCAACGAGCTCGTAAAGCGCTTCCCCGAGCGTCCCTCGCCCTTTCCCTCGCCCGTACAGACCAAGATCCTCGAGCTCATCCACGAGTGGAAACTCACCCTCTGCGTCACCAGCAAGCACAAGGAGGACCTCGTCCACATCCGCGACATGCACCGCCTCCTCAGCTACAAGGGTGAGAAGGACAGCTCGACGTGTGGTCAGGCATCGAGCTCACAGAGGCCCTTTGCTCCCCTTCGTCGCCACTAACCATCTTCGCACCTTGCCCTCGCTTTCAACTTCTCCCTCCCGCTCGACCCGTCGGCCTGCCCCCTCGTCCTCGTCCTCGCCCTCGCCCTCGCCCTCGCCCTCGCCCTCGCCCTCGCCCTCGCCCTCGCCACGCAGGCTACCGCTTCCCCAACATCGATTCGCGAGCCGCCAGCGTCATGAACCCGGAAAACAACCTCAAGTCGCCCGAGGAGCTCGAGGAAGAGGACCGCGCAGCGCAGGGCGCCAAGCTGCAGGAGCTCATCCGCCGAGGCACGCCGCGCGACCTTGCCCAGGCGCAGGAGCTCATGAAGATCATGTCGGGCGCCGAGCCCGAGTCCAAGCCCGACTACAGCTCCCAGACGCGCAAGGAGCTCGACAAGATCCAGAGCCGCGCCATCCTGCTCAACGACATGCTCAACAACGCCAACCAGGGCGAGAGGTTTGCAAAGGGCGACGCCTACGACCAGATCTCGGCCCACCTCCGCAGCGTACAGCCGCGCATCCAAAAGTGGATTGGCGAGGCCGAGGGCGCCGACGACGGCGAGGCGGATTCGCACGTGGGCATGGAGCGCCTCCTCCTCATCAACGACCTCATCAACCAGGTGTGCGAGCGCTACAAGGCCTTTACTCGGGGCGACTGGAGCGCCACGGCCAACATCGACCCCAGCATCGACCCGAGCCGCGGCGGCGCAGACGCCGTGCCCACGGCCAAGATCCAGGACCTGATCGACTTCGACGACGCAGACAGCGGGCCAGGGGCGTCAGGAGCCGCAGGGTCGGCCGGCAGCGGAAGCGGCAACATCATGGACGACTTTGCCAGCCTCACGTTTGACGATGCGCCTGCCGCCGCCACGGCATCGGCCGCCAGCCAAACAGCGGCGCCCTCGTCTTCGTCAGCGAGCGCTACGGGGCCAGGGGGACTACCAGCCGACCTATTCTCGGCGCCGTCTGCATCGTCGTCTTCATCGCTCAACGGCGGCGGCGGCGGCAGCGGAGGAGGGTGGGGAGCGCTGCAGCTTCCGACATCCTCGACGTCCTCGCCCGCGCCCACCGGTACGTCGGCGGCAGGGAGATCGGGCCAGTCGTTTATCGACGCGCCTACCCTCGTACCTTCCAAGCCCGGTACGCCGTCTTCCCAGTCGACGACGGCGACGACGCAGCCACAGTCGACCTCGGCCTCTGTGCAGGGGTCCAAGAAGAATGATCCGTTTGCGGATCTCGATGACCTGTTCAAGTAAGGGGCCGTCGTCGTAGTCGTGCTGCTCCGTCGTCTTCTTGATCCTCGAAGAGTTGGAGTCGAGTCGAGTCGAGTCGAGTCGCGGGAGACGGATGACACACTGTTGACCAACTCGGTCGGGCTTGCGTCCCCGCTTCGTCGCCGTCTTGTTGAGACAACCCGAAAGAGCAACGCGTGGAATGGGATCAAGGCTGTCTACCGCCATCGAAGGGAACGAGACGAGACAAGGCGGGCGTTGCTCGACGTGTACATCGAGCTCGTCGATCTGTGCTGGACTGGGCTGTGCTATGTTGTCAATGGCGATGCTATAACGGCGAAAAGGAGCTGGAGCCTGGGGGTAGATACAAGACGAGGGAACGAAAAAAGGCACGTACGAGCGCCAGAGTAATGGCGATGGGCGATGGTACGACGCGGAACGGCCCCTTCCCCCTCTAGCTTGCCTAGCTAGCCAAGCCAGCCTCGCTAGCCGGCACGGTATGGTGGGGAGGGTCACCTCTTTTCAAAACTGACAAAGACCAAGTCGTACCTCTCAAACTCGTAGGCGATTCGATCCGTCCTCTTGTATCCCTTGAGGAGCAGGCGATGCAGCTCGTTGCCGTTGGAATCGACCTCTTGCTTTTCGCGCTCGCTCGCTCCCTCCCCCGCCGTCGCCACAAAGAGCGTAACGCACAGCTTGCCCGGCTCAAACGTCGATACCACCCGCGATACCAGCTGCGGTAGCGTCGTAGGCGTCCCCTCCATCGACCAACACGATTCCTCTCGGTGTTGCTGCGACGAGGACGGGAGTAGAGCAACGTTGGTCTCGAAGCTGGCGTAGCTGCTCTCCTCCTCGGGCGTCACGTGGATGGTCCAGTATCCCGCCTGGTCCGTCTTGCCGCGGCGAGGCATGACGGCATTGGCAGAGTAGCCGCACGGCTCAAACGCAAACGCGTCGAGCTGCGTAGACGGGAACAGGTCCGTCAGGCGCAGCCGGTTCGACAGCGCCAGCCCGAGCGCGTGGCCCTTGTCCAGGTCCAGCGCCGGCTCGTCGTACCCGGCCGCCGACGCCGACGCAAACTGCGACGGGTAGCACTCGCCGCGCGTCGGGTGCGGCAGCCCCTCGTCAAACACGAACCGCCCGCACGACGCCGCCGACAGGTGCGTCATGAGGATCTCGAGCGTCTGGTCCTCGACGCACGGCGTGGGCAGCCGCAGCGGGCGCTCGACGCTCAGCGAGGCCGAGTAGGGCGCGGCCGCAGCGGGCGACGACGGCGCCTCGGCCTCGCGCGCCCCCTCGCAGCCCATCCAGAGCAGCCAGTGGTCGCCGTTCATCTTGCCCACCGTGTAGGCCGCGCCAAAGTCAAAGAAGCGGTCCAGCACGGCCACCTCGAGCATCCAGTCGCGGTGCGGGCCCTTTTGCCGCTCCGGAAACATGAAGCTCTTGCGGCTGTAGAAGGCGTGCACCACCGACGAGCCCAGGCGCCGCTCGGCGCTGTCCGACGCCGAAGCCGACGCCGATGCATCACCGCTGCCGCTGGCGGCGCCATCGCCGTCGAGGCTGACGAGCTTGGCGGTCGAGCGGTGGAGCGACGAGAGCGCGCGGTTGGCAATCTCGAGAAGGCGCTCGAGGCCCAGAAGGAGCGTCGTGGTGCCGCAAGTCTTGAGGATGAGCTTGTGCGGGAAGACAAACATCGACGATTCGCTGGCGGCGGGGCGCGGGCAGAAGAGAGGGAGAGAGAGAGGGAGAGAAGGGCAGTCAGAGGTCAGCATGCATTGAGCGGCAAAAAAGGTGTCTCGCCCCTTTTTTGCAGGCCATCCTGGGCTGGCCGCTCACCTGAGGAGGTAGGCGTCGACCTCGGCGCCCTCGATGACGCTGAGGACCTTGCACTTGACAATGTCGAGCATCGTCTCCCACACGGCCTTGGGGACGGAGCGGAGGCCAAAGTGGCCCTGCCGCGCGTCGTGGTCCTGCCAGGCGCAGCGCTGCACGTCTGCGGGCTCCTCTGCGAACCAGAGCTCGAGGAGCTTCTCGGGCCCCTCGAATGGGCCGCACGGGTCGTGGAAGTCGGTGGCCGAGGAGACCGAGGCGACGTTTGCGGCCGAAGAGGCTGCGTTGAGCTCAACGACCTGCTGGAGAGTCTCTGCGACCGAGAGGGTGGAAGGGTCGGCGGCATGCTGCTGCTGCTGCTGCTGCGCGGCGAGGTCGTGGGCGTCGAGGATCTCGCGGCTGCGCATGCGCTGGATTTCCTTTTGGTGGGCGAGCCGGTCTGCGGCGGAGGAGTTGGATTCGAGCTGGCTTGCGGTGGGTGTCATCGTGGCGAGTGGTGGAGGTATAGGGGGGAAGAGGCGAGCAGGTCTTGGCAGGTGGGGATGAGGTGCGTCGGGGCGAGGACGCGAGGGGCCGATGCTGCTCTGCGATGCTTTGGTTGCTGCGGGCGTGGGAGCGTTAGGGTGCTGCTGCTGCTGCGGCGGCTTGCGAGGATATTGCCGCTGCTGCTGCTACTATTACTGCTGCTGTCGTCCGAGTCTTCTGAAGGCATAGGAGGTCGTGATGGTGGCTGGTTGCGGCGGAAAGGCCAAGGCCAAGGCGAGGAGCGTGATCGTCGGACTCGCTCGAGGGGCTGCGTGGGGATGCGGCGAAAGATGGAGCTGTTAAGGCGGCCGGGCGAGGGTTCGTTGGCTTGCTCGTCGCGCGGCGTGGGTCCGTCTACTGTACAGTAGTAGCTTGATGAGGTGTCGTTGAGGACACGAGATGGGGGATCGATCGAGGTTGCTGGGAGATGGTCGAGACGGGAGAGAGCAAGGAGAGGACCTGAATTTTTTCCGTGACGGGTGGGGAGCGTTTGGGCTGCTGCTGGCTGCCAGGTTCGATGTGGCCGCCCACACGATCTTCTGAGGCGATTCAGCCCAGGCGGGCGGGCGAGCGGCCTGGCTGGCCTCCGTCTTGGTGGGCCCTGCCTGCCTGTCGAAAATTGAAATTGCCCTGGGCCGCGGCGCAAATCGCTCAAAGCTGGCAGGAAGGCAGGGCCCCTGCCGGTGGCTCGCGTGGCCAGGCTGAACCCAACTCTTGGCCTCGGCCCCGATTCAGTCGCCCGATTGACGTCCGGCCCCGAAGTCGAGCCAGGCCTCGCTGCCTCCACACGTTTGTTGGCGCTGGGCTGCTAGTCGCGTTTAGGCGAAAGGAGCCAGCCGGCCGCCCTCCGCTTCCGCACCGACCCTTTTCAGGCCTGCGCCCCGCTCCAACAACCTTCTTGCCCACCACCACCACCAGCACCACCACCACCGTCACCGACACCACCACATTGGGGCTGCGTCACATTGCGCCGCCGCAGCACGCCCATCTCACCTCCCTCGTCGCTCTCTGCGGTCATCTACCCGCCCGCAGCACTTGGTCCACCGGCCCCATGACCGACACCGCTGCCCCTCAGGCTGCGGCTGCGGACGGCCCTCTTCCGGCCACCGCAAACGGGCACTCGTCGTCAACCCCTAGCTCGAACAATGCCGAGGCCGCCCGCTACTCGTACGCCCGCGCCATCCTAGGCGACGCCTGCTTTGACAAGGTCGCATCGGCCCGCCTCCTCGTCGTCGGCGCGGGCGGCATCGGCTGCGAGCTCCTCAAGAACCTCGTCCTCGTCGGCTTCGGCAACATCGAAATCGTCGACCTCGACACCATCGACCTCTCCAACCTCAACCGCCAGTTCCTCTTCCAGAAGCAGCACATCAAGAAGCCCAAATCCATCGTCGCAAGGCAGACGGCCAACTCCTTCAACCCGCTCGTAGACATCCACGCTCACCACGCAAACATAAAGGAGCCCCGATTCGGCGTCGCCTACTTCCAGCGCTTCGACATCGTACTCAACGCACTCGACAACCTCGACGCGCGCCGCTGGGTCAACCGCATGTGCATCGCCGCAAACGTGCCCCTCGTCGAGAGCGGCACCACCGGCTTCCTCGGTCAGGTGCAGCCCATCCAAAAGGACGTCACCGAGTGCTACGACTGCACCGCAAAGCCCGTGCCCAAGACCTTCCCCGTATGCACCATCCGCTCCACGCCCTCGACGCCCATCCACTGCATCGTGTGGGCAAAGAGCTGGCTCTTTACCCAGCTGTTTGGCGCAGATGACGAGACCGAGGACGACCAGGAGCTCGACAAGGCCGTCGCCGACGGAGAGGACGCAGAAGAGATCAACAACCTGCGCAAAGAGGCGCGCGAGATGCGCGACATCCGCGCCACCATGCTTGCCGCCG